AAAAGAAATAGAGAGGAGCTAATTCAGAGCAGTTTTGGACCCCAAACGCCCCGGTTTTGCCTACTTTGTCACACTTTTATGTCCTACATAACTAATAATGCGTCCTATCGAAGCGTTGCTTGCTTTCACAAGTTTGTTTGATCTAGGCCGAGGTGACCGCTACGATCTCGGGTTGTTTCCAGGCTGTTTCCAACTTTTTGCCCCAACCGGCTCGTTTTTGCCTTATCTATCACATTTTGGTTTCCATGGAACAGTCACAAATTCTTGTTTAACTAGTCATCCTTGGATCAGTGGAACATTACAATGTTTAAAGTTTCTATACTGGTCAACATAAACTAAACTGTAAATTCCATCTTTTATAAGTTAAACAAAAATTAGTTTAAAGACAATCACTTTTGGCAACAAAAAAATTGGTCGCTAAAAGTCAATTTTTGGTCGGCAAAAGTTATCCGCGACCAATTTTTTTGGTCGCTACTTTGGTCGCCAATTGAGGGTCGGCAAAAGTAATTCGCGACCAAAATTTTAGTTGGTCGGCAAAAGTTGGATTTGCCGACTAAATTTTTGGTCGCTAAATATTTAATTACCGCGACGAATTTATTTTGTCGCTAAAACACTTTGGTCGCGAAAAGTGATATTTTCCCGACCAAATTTCTCAGTCGCCAATTGTCACATTTCGCGACCAAAAAGTTTGGTCGCCAATTATCACATTTCGCGACCAAAAAATTTGGTCGCCATTTGTTACTTTTCGCGACCAAAACTTTTGGTCGGCAAAAGTGAGATTCCACGACCAAATTTGTTTTGGTCGGCAATTGCCATTTTTTGCGAAAAAAATTTATTTATTTGTCGCGACTAATAAATTGGTCGCCAAAGCAGGAAAACAATACACCTGTAATTCCTAATAATTCATTCGATCCATAATAAACCTATAATTTTAAAACATCATTCAAATTAACTGAATCATTAACATTCGACACAATATTACTATTCTAAGTTTTCATTCACAAGTCACATCCATCTCACATAACAATTTGAAACAATACATAATTCAGATTTACAGCATCAGGAAAATTGCTTAATCCACTAAGTTTCCTTGATAGCCAATCAAAAAGATCCTTGCGGCCTTCCGTGCCAAGCTTCGCATCCATCAAAGCAGTAGCGATGTAAGACACCTAATAAAGAAACAGAATTGGAAAATTTATCAGAGAAGCATGATAAATATATAAAATTAATTAAAAAATAAACGAAATAGAGAAATTGGAACCCAATAGTCGAGGTAATGCTCTTTACGTATGTGAATGTATTATAAATTTCTCACCTTTATTGGTTTTTCAAAACAATAGTCGAGGCAGGTTTTGTGGTACAGTACAGAACTCTCTGTGTCCATTTGGACTACCAGATGAGGTTCTACTGGTTCTGATCGATTCCCCTCTCCACCTTGATCAACAAAAGAGAGATAATACCGGGAGCTGTTTGGTCTCACACAACCTTTTCTAACTTCTCTGCAGTAACTCTTAAAGACTTCCACGGGTGGACAATACCGCTGACCAGGAACCTGTTTAAAATGAATGTGAGGAAACTCCAATCAAATTACATAAACCAAAGCAGATAACCAAGCTTAAATTCAAAAATATTATGATTGACTCATGAACACTATTAAATGATCTCAAGTATCACACGTCAATTCAAGCTATCCCACTTGAAATTAATAAGAAAATGGCAAGAGCACAAAAGTTGTGCCACTTTCAGTATAATGCATTCTCCAAGTCAATTTTTACAATATAGAAAACCATCAATAAAGAGCTGAAAACCCAAGCCATGGTTAACTCTCAATAAAAATTTAGAAAATCTAGAGAATCAACACCCATCTGGTTCACATGGTTCTTTCTTATCCATATAAGCACCATAACATAATATAAGGGAAAGAACTGCTAGTGACAACCAATGCATTCATAGCAAAAGACAAAAAAAAAGTGCAGCAGCAATTGCTTAATGCTATTTTCATATGTCAATAAATCAGTAACTGGCTAACAAAAAAGTTGGCGAATTGTCAAAGTCTCTTTGGCTTGAGAATCAAAAGCTGGGTTGTCACTAAGAGCATTGACAAAAAAGAAAATGCAAATGCAAATGCAAATGGTCTTCAACATTGAATTAGTCTTCAACATTGAATTAGATGTATACATTTCAATCTTAGTTTTCTTTCATAATAATACCATTGTTTTCTTTCATATATCTAAGATTGAAATGTATACATCTAATTTATAATAATACCATAGTTTTCTTTCAGACATCCAGTCTTCAACATTGAATTAGTCTTCAACATTGAATTAGATGTATACGTTTCAATCTTAAAAATTATAAGAAAATGCAAATGGTAGGAAAACAACTACGTTGCAAAGTCCCATTATTTGATTTCACACACACACAAAACACACAAAAAAAAACACACACACACACACATACACAGAGAAAATTACAACAAAAACAATGAAAAAAAAACCATAAAGGCTCTAAGCTTCTTGTTTAATCTGAACTAGAGAAAATGGGGCAGAAAATAGAAACGAAGCATATCCTCTTACTCAAACTAGGTTCAACCAATCCCATGTAGATTTCAAAAGCGTTACTTGTAACTGTGTTTCCAAGCATATCCTCTTACTTAAGCATACACTTAATACTGATTGGGAAAGTCGACATCATTCATGTTAACAGTTCATTTTCATCAGTTTCTACCTACTCACCTGATCCCTTCTAGGTCTTTGTAACAAGTTTCTAGTTCAACCGATCAATATGGACAGAAACACAGCCAACATGTTTTAGTTTAAGAAAATGTTTGAGCCCTAAGATAATTAACCACTAAGGAAGAACATACAGGCCAAATAAGAGTATTATACCTTCAAAGATAGCAGAAGAGTAATTGTTTCCAAGCTATGCTGGCCCCGATCAACATAGTCTCCTAAGAAGAGATAATCGATATATCTGATAGTCATACATGAAATTTGCATCATGATAAAAGGGTGGGAAAAAAATTGCTAGTAATTGCATAATCTCACTGAAGGACCTAGAAAATGCTTTAAAAAGGCCAAACAGAAGTAATCACTTTCATTAAAGAAAAAAACATAATACGCAGACAGTAGTCACAGTCCGATCCCAGTACTTACACTAATGACAAAGGAGGCACCAAAAATTTTTGTCAAAGAGAAAGAGAAAGAGAAAGAGAAATAGTCGCAGTTAAAACTAATGACATCAAGTGCTTGATGAGTTTTGGTCTTGCATTCTGGTTACTTTTTATTTATTTATGACAAGTTGAAGTCAGCAAAAAAGTGAATACCTGCCAATATGCATTTAGACATTTTATTTAGAGACACGGTACACTTTCTTCCCAAAACAACAAACTTAGAGAACCAAAAACCATTCTCTGACTTCTTCCCTTATTTTCTCTTTGTTATTAAACCAACTATATATATACATATATGTAAATTACATTGGCCTACCCTTAGGGATTGATGCAGACAAAGCTAGAGCAGCATGCAGGTTACATGACGATGTGGCTCCAAATTGATAAAACTTTTGGTACTTAGTGATGGAGTTATTTCTTTTAGTTATTATGATAATATCATGTCTCTCTCTCTCCCTCTCTTGTCAATGCAACTTATCCAGGTAGTTCATGTAAGAATTTATTTCCTCTAACAACCCTCCATGCATGCTATAGTTGCTCCAGGCTCAATTTAGAGCTATTCTCTTCCAATCAGGTGTCACAATTATGGTTGGTGCCTAATTGAATTAAATGCGTAATGATAACATCTTAATAACATCTTACACCTAATCTGGTGGCTCACCTTCTCCAAGTAACTGGTAATAGATTATAGGCCCAAAACATGACACTAGTATGACTGTTGGGCTGTGGTATTTCAGGGTTTTGTAGCTCAAGGCAAACCTGACTTGCCTGTTCTGTTTTGGTGCTTGAAGGGATGCTCTGATATCTTATCTGTTTTGATCTGTTATGCTGCTGTGTTGGTTTTAACAAACTTGGGGATTGGTTTGGATGAAGGGCTGCTACAGGTCAAGGCATTGTGTTTGGACTGACTGTTGGGCTGTTGTAATTCAGGGCAATGTAGCTCAAGGAAAATCTGATTTGTCTGTTCTGTTTGGTGCCAATAGGAGTGCTGTTTTGCCTGCTGTTTTTTGCCTTTTTTTTCTGCTTTTTGTGGTTTTTTTTGCTCTGTTTGTTTTGCTCGTTGGTTTCTCACCAACTAGGAAGTTGGAGCTTGACTTAGCTCCAAGCTCCTCTTTATTGATGTATTTCTTCATATAATTCATCAATAAAGTCTTCTTTTTGCCGATCAAAAAAAAAAAGGACCAAGTGAGACAATGATAGGCTGTCAAAAACATAGAAGAGATGGGAGAGGAAGTTGACATAGAGTTTTATTCTTAATAATCTCTCAGGTCTCAGCCAATAATCCTTTGTGAATTTACAAAGGTATATTCTTGACACTGCAGAAATATCTGAACTAGAATTAATTTATAATTGGACTCTACCCTCATTAACATGTACACACTTTTTCAAGAGAACATGTGATAAAGCATATGTCAAAAGAAAAACAAGACAATTTACAAAAGTTTCATAGTCCATACCTGCAAGGCATTTTCATGAAATTCATTGTGCACCTGCCTCAGATGTGATCTTGGCAACTGGGGAAAATAAAAAGCATAAATCACTTACATACCAAACAGGAAAAAGGACCTCAAATACTAGAAGAAAGCTGGCAGTATAAGAGTGTTTGCAACCTCATCACTACCCTTTTGTGACAACATTACCAGTCAAAAAAAAAAAATTAGCACAGAGGTTGAAAACATGAAAGTTAATAATGGTGTTTCTGTTGCCCCAAGGAGAATGCATCAATTTTATAAAGTTAATAATCACTTATTGAATAAAACTTTCAGCTTCCACTTTCATCGTTCATGAGACGTAAGACTTTACAAATTTTGAAAACTAGGAGTGACAGAAGTCTAGTAAGGCTAAAGGGTTGATTTACCCGGAAGAGAGTCACAAAACCAGGGATCAAAAGTAAAAGAGAAGAAAAGTAGCCAATCATATGTAAAGTTACAAAGAAGAATAATCAACTTTGCCTTCTAAACTAAATATGTCATTCTTGTGCTAATGGTCATGGGAGATCATGAAGAATCCAACTTAAGAACCCATATCTCTTGTAAGAGCATATACGACATGCTGACAGAAATCTACAAAAAACAAACAAAATTTAAATGAAATCTTACCACAGTCAAAGACAAAAGCTAAGAAAATAGAAGAATATATTATTATGGAGGAAGAAGAAGCAACAAGAGATTCGAGCAAGTACCTCATTAGCATCAACAACAAGCCCATTCATCAAGAGGCAGCATTGGAGCTTAACTAAACCCAGCTTAAAAACAAACATGGAGCTCTCTTGAGATAGTTCAGTGAAAGTTTGCTCTGTTTCCAGTTTTAGTAAAGCATCTTGAGATGGAGATTTAGCCTTTGGTCTACAGAATATGAGTACATTTGAGTGGTAGACTACTAAAAGGAACAATCAACCAAAAGAAATTAAGAACATCTACTTCAACCTCAATTGGACATAACAAGACGATGATACAATAATCAACTCTTAAATATGCATGCAGAATGATCAGAAACATTATGTACACATAACAATGAACTCAACTGTAAAATATCTTTCAGACTTGCAATAATTTTAAGTTCAAAATTTAAAAATACAAAAACTTACAATAATGTTTCAACAAATGCCCCTTCCACATGATGCATTTCAGGAGCATCTTCTGTAGGATCTGCTGACTCAATTCGTAATTTATTTATCTGCCATATAACAAGTAAAATGGAACTCAATCTAGAGCAATTTTGAGATGAATTTAATGATGCTACCCTGAGACACATGACACACTCACAAGACATGAAAAAACAAGAAGCTTTAGAAATTGCCAATTAATTGGTTTCACACACATCCAGAAGTGTGCACAGGATTACACACCCAGACCCATTAAAGAATCTCCTAACTTTCTCATTAAACATTGGTGACATTTCTATCTAAATAGAACAGAAGTACCAAAACCTTTGCGACAAGACATTAGTGAGTTGAGTTTCCTCAAATTACCAGTACCAGAACCTGGTAACAGTAAGTAACGCAATAAAATTGTATCATTTTATTTTTTGTGATTTTTTTGAGAATATATTATCTGATGAATTTGTAGTTTTTCTTATTTCTTTAATCACATATTCAAGCATGCCCTTTTTAACAAACAATTTGAAGTTTGGACTGTGCATAAAAACATGAGATGGAGGTAAATAGCAATTACAAAATTAGCATGAGACAGGAACTGCAACATTAAAGGTGATATCAAGAATGTGTTTTACCACTCATTTATGTTTATTGGCCTTTGATCCTAAGAAAGAGTCTCCATAAAGTTTTTATATTCATGATTCATGAACTTCTTTACTTGTCCAAAGATTTGTGGTCTTTATATTTTGTTTCAGTATTTTCAGAGAATAAGAGAAAACATGAACCGGCAAAACAACAAAATG